TCCTGCTGATCTGTGTGTATCTCCATTATAAAAGAAGCCCTTATTAGCTGACCAGCTTTACAAAAGGGCCACGCTTGAGTAAGTGGGTTTTCTACTTAATGATGGCAGCTATTTTCTCCTGGAAGACAGGATTCAGGTAGTTTTCTTAGGAAATCATAGTCAGAAAGGAATTTTGATCCTGGAAGAAAAATGACATTAAAACCAGTACCTACTTGAGGTCTCTAAGTGAAAGGGTCAAGTGTACTGCTTGAGACAGAGTGGGCATTTATGAATGCTGCTTTCTCCTTTATCTTCCTTCTTACCTAATCATGAGCGTTAAAGATTTTAGAGATGACTTTTGGTATCTCAATTAACCATAATATAGAAAACTATTTATGATTACAAATGGATTAAGTAAATAGTTATTTCCACAGTTGTATTTTTAGAAACAGTAAAATGATAAGTCCTCCCCTTGCAAAGCCTCGTGAGGTCTTGAGGGAGATTACACGCCTGATTAAATTCACAAAATATAAAGTCAAATTTTTCCTAACAAATAGCAGCATGCTTGTATACATATGTTCTGCACAAGCATATTTATGCCTTGTGGTAGTCTTATTAATAAGGAAAAATAAAACAATGATGTTGCTTTTATAATAACAGCCATATCAGACTATCGCTTAGCTAATTACCAACAAATGTTCACGTATACTGAGCATCAGTGTTGTCAACTCATTTTAATAAATGTGCCAGTTCTTACTAAGTTCACTAACTTTGGCAATTAATAATAATAATGGGAAATAAATATCATTCTTAAAGTTACAGTTTTACAAAAGTGCACTGAAGACACTCATTCAATCAAATGTTCCTACTCTGGGGAAACCGGGGAGGGTTGTCATTGACATCCGTCAGCGTGATGTTCACTGTGGTGGTCCCAGACAATCCCCCCATCTGTCCACCCATATCCTTGGCTTGAATCACCACTTGGTACTGCTCCCTGTTTTCACGATCCATGTTGAGCAAGGCTGTCTTGATGATACCTATGGATATGAAGTTCAGAAATGGAAAGGGATATATTAAAAATACTTTACAAAATCATTTATTTATGCAAACAAACATAGATTGTCACCCACGATATGCGTAACACTGTGCAGGTGTCATGGGTGACCATAAAGATGATTGATTATAGGTAGCCTTCGTACTGAAGGAAATTAAACCCACATAGGGGAGGTAGATACATAGATACATTAAAAAAAGCATACACCTATGATGCAAGGAGAATGAAAACAAGTACAATTCACATCCTGCAATAGTGCAGACTGTAAGTGGTATAAATATTAAGTGTTATAAGATGACACAGCAAAATATAACTTGGCGTGTGGCACAGTGCTATACTACTGTAGCTGCTTGATAAAGGACACTAGGTGCATTATGAGGAAATTAATAAAGTCATATATACTTGAACTGACTCCTGAGTTTCACATTACCGAATTAACTAATTCCTCAGCAAATATACCCACCATAATGAATGTTCTGAGGATCTTCTAAACCACAAAACTGTGGTCTTATAAAAACACAGCATCAGTTGTCTCATAATGATCATCTTGTATGATCCTAGAGAATTTTTTCCCTAAAGCTGACGTGAACTTTAGTTCAACAGGTCCCAGCAGTGACCAACATTCTTCAGTTAGGTAAAATTTGTCTCTGTTGTTAGGTAGTTATAAAAGAATTAGTTTAAAGAACTTCTAAAAGTTTGTCTAATTTCTATGTAAGGCTTAAGCTTAAATTAGCAGCATTCTTTCAAAAATCACTGGAGAAGGCTTTATAACCTTCTCAGGTGGCACATTCCAGTGCTTAGTGACTAGTGAAGCTGAAAATATCTTTTTCTATTTTTAACAAGAATACCTCAGACAACAGGTAGGAATGAGTGCCTCAATTTCATTCCTGCAGTGCTGGCTTCAGTGAAAGGGAAGCTGCTTTCTGTTCTCCAGATAATAGTATTTCTCTATTTAAACACAGGAGGTCACGTTAGCCTTCTGTCCTTTAAGTTGAATAATTCTAATTTTTCATCCTCATTGTTTTCAAACTCAACATTTTCTTTTTCCTTGGGATTCTTTCTAAGTTCACTGCACCTCTTACATCGATTTCCAACTGGATGTAGTAACCTAGAAAGGTTTTGATTTCTATTAACAATAATGGATGCTTAAAAATCGTATAAAAGGAACTCTACTCCTATTATGACAGCAAAAATATATGTAGAATTTACTATACGATACAAGTGATATTTATTAAAAGACAGTTCATCATAAGATAGTATGCTACTCTGTGGAGATAGTGCAGAAAAATGAGATGTTGAAAAAGGATTCCATTAAGGCAATCCATTTTGTTTTTTAGGGCAGTAGCAGTTAGGATAAGCTAGACAACGTGACAACAAAAGTAAAATTTCACTGGTTTAACAGAACTGTAGTGCTCTGTGCAGGCCAGTAAGAAGCTCTGCTCATGAAAACCCTTAGACATTCAGGATGGAGACCCACTCGATACTGGTTTCCATCCATGGTCACTGTGGCAAGAGGAAGGGAACGTGGTAGATTGTGCACCAAGTCTAAAAGTTTCGCTTGGAAATGACTCCTATCACTGCTACATTTTATTGGCCCAAATAAATCACGTGGCTACATCTAGCTTCCCAGCAGGGTAGAGAGATGCAACCCTACTAAATAACTAGAAAAGGAAGAATCAGAATACGTATAAACAGCCCTACTGGCTATCAGAAGGGGTTGGCCTTTTAGCTTCGTCTCAAACTGGAAAAGAGAATAAAACAATGTGTAATTTTTCTGAATCTCCTCTGAATAAACATGGTGGATGAAAGATCCATTGTCAGATTTCTTGCTTAAAATGACCTGAATGCCATATTTACAAGTGTATCACTGGTGTTGGGGAGATGAATCTAAGAAAATTCAATCACACTGATTGTTTTTATTAAAAAATATGCTAGCTCATTTGAGCATGTCAATTAAAATTACAGACTGTAAAAAGAAGATACAAAAGGAATTCTAACCTGTTTCTGATTCAACTGAAAAATAGGGCTGCCCCTGTAGGATGCTATAGACAATTTTAGCACTGTTTCCGTACGTTGGATCATCAGCGTCAGTTGCAGTAACTTGGACAACAAATGTGCCTGTAATGACAGAAACATGAATTGAAAATAAATTAAGGGTTAATGACGGGTCCTTGATACCCACACATAAGGAAAAAACACAATCTTACTTCTACAGAAAACTATCATGGCAAGGGAGTGAAGAACTACAGTGGGATGCTAGGCTAAAAAGCCTTGGATTTCTCACTCTGAAGAAATGTGATCAACATTCATAAATATTGTAAGGATTAAATTAAAAGGAAGCACGGGAATGATCATGACTTTGGGTGTAACTGATTCCAGCCCATCTCCAAGGGTGAGATTTGATTGGATTCTTGCTACGGCAATTCTTTCAAGTTATCTAGGCCTAAATCTATTGGCATCTCGCACTATTTTTTCTACAAGGATTAGTGTAGGTATTGTTTAATCAGGGGGCCATTCGTGATTTTGCTGGAAATTTGCAGTGTCATAGGTGCTTTTACTCCTGGACTAGAACGTGCTGATGTGGAGCCTGCAAATGCAGTAGCTATTTTGTGATCTTAGCAATGCCAGCCTGAGTACCAAGCTGAATAGGACAGAAAGTTACAGAGAAATATCTAGAACACAAATCAAACTATGTTCAAAGTCCACTTTACTTTTGGACTTAAGTAATGTGACCGATAAATACTTCCATTGTTTAAAGTAATTTGAATTGTGCTTTCTGTTACTTACAAATAAAAGCATCCTAAGTGATAAATCTGTCTGATAATTCTAAGAGGTTGAAAGACCTCGAACCTTATGAAAAGTAGTTTTGGATTAAATAAAGAATTAATTGGAATAGCAGAGGATACACATCCAGAATTTATAATCCCCAAAGATGATTATAATTAAATGCACAAAGAAGGCTACATTGCTTTAGATTGGCATTCTTATCTTAGAGACCACAGTTAATAATAACCTTCAAAGTATCCTAACCCCCAAGAAATTCCATGCAAACTTTTATGTGTATGCCTACATGTATATTACAATGAGGAGAAGTTCCATGGACTTTATCTGATTCTCAAAGTGGTCTGTGACTTCCAAAAAGGGTAAGACCCTCTGATTAAGATCATTTTATGGCTGACTTTTGGTATTCATATTAGACAAAGAGTAAGCATACTGCTAGAATTGTCCTGTCCATGAACAGGGCAGGGAAGTCACATTTAGGGAATATTAGAATTTTTACATTGCTTTTGTAATATCTAACCAGTTCCATTTATTGAACAAATATACTGTACTGTGTTAGGGTTGGATGCTCTGGATGTAGCATGTTGATGCATGAGATAGAGCACCCGTCCTTGTAATTTGACAAGGTATGTAGGGTAAATGAGAGCATATGATTTTAAAGCGAGGAGTAGTAGAAGTCAACAAACACCTACGTTCTTATTTGACATCAATACAAAATTTGATTGCTTTTAGAATATGGTTATCTGGATACTTTGAGTGCCTATTAGGTGCCAGATGTGGTACTGGGGGTCTGCACTTGTTTTCTCCTTTCATTCTTATGATAAGGGTTAGGAGTTGATGTTTATTATTTCTTTTTTATATATATGGAACTGGAGGATCAGAGACATCAAGTCATATATTTACCTAAGGCCACATTGCTGCTTATTAGTAGGGATAGTTTCAAACTTAGGTCTGTTTGTTGTCAAAGTCCTTTTTTTTTTTTTTTCCCCCCCGGTACGCGGGCCTCCCACCGCTGTGGCCCCTCCCGTTGCGGAGCTCCCGCTCCGGACGCGCAGGCTCAGCGGCCATGGCTCACGGGCCCAGCCGCTCCGTGGCATGTGGGATCTTCCCGGACCGGGGCACGAGCCCGTGTCCCCTGCATCGGCAGGCGGACTCTCAACCACTGCGCCACCAGGGAAGCCCCGAAGTCCATTTTTACTACCTTGTTATTGTCCCACTACCTTCATGTAATTCCTTTGGGATGCCTTTACTATCACAATAATGACATGTTAATTTATGATAATGATGAATGTCAACATAACTGTGCCTGTGTGCAGATTGGAAAAAGGCTTCTCTTCCTCAAGACGTGTTACTGCCAGCTACCCTCAAATATTTATAAAACATATTTAATTCTATAATGACTTCAAGAGTACGCTGCCCCTTATATTGTGCAGTTACACTTTGCACATCTGGTGCTGATGACCAGGCTGTCCTTCATTAATTCTTCCTGCCCTTTACCACGTAGAGGAAAAATATTTTTCCTAACAAATCTTCCTCTTAAAAGAATTCTAATCCTCCTCTTAACTTTGGTGATGATTTGTGATTTTTCTAACAAAAAGTGACTTCAAGGGCTTCCCTGGTGGCGCGGTGGTTGAGAGTCCGCCTGCCGATGCAGGGAACACGGGTTCGTGCCCCGGTCCGGGAGGATCCCACATGCCGCGGAGCGGCTGGGCCCGTGAGCCATGGCCGCGGAGCCTGCGCGTCCGGAGCCTGTGCTCCGCAATGGGAGAGGCCACAACAGAGGCCCGCGTACCGCAAAAAATAAAAAAAATAAAAAGTGACTTCAAGTAATGAGATGAGTAACTTCTTCATGGGAAAAATTGAGATGTTTTATAATCATTTCCGTAGATTATGTATTTTCCAAGTCTTGGAATTGTGAACTGAAATGTCTCTGATATCTGACTCGCAGAATTATGGAAATGTTTTTTATTATGTAATTTAGCCCTTTTGAACTTGACACTGAAGATAACTTAAAATAACCCTTTACACAATAGTTGAACATTTGTCATTGTCTCCCCTGAAGTGTTTTAATGTGGCGGACAGTGATGTCAGTAGGATTTTTTTCTTAATTTAAATTCTGTTTACCTTTTCCCAATTTAAGCAAATTAAATGCACACGTATTAACTTTAAAATTGGTAGTAGAATTGTGCACAAAATATTAATTTACCATATTAATGTCATGAAAGTCTCTTAATTTCTACCACTTAGTAAAGAACATATCCTCTAGACATCGTCTGCATATTGTTTATGGATTTTAAAAAAAGTTTTCTTTGAGTCTCTCTCTCAAATATAATTGCTCTTTAGTCTGGACTGTAAATTCAGGGCTTTTGTTTTCCACTGGGGAGATCCTTACCTGAAGCCTAATACCACTATGGGCTAAGAGAAATAGAGAGGGCTGCTGCCTTTCAGTCCAAGAAATAAAGTGGGCATTTTGAGTGGGAGAGGAATTAGATGAAATGGTCTCTCCTCCCTCCCCCTCTCACCCTGCCACTTTTCATACCCTAATCACTAGAGGAAATGCTGTTTTCTTAAAAATAATAAGACTAGAGTAATATTAGGAGACACCGGTGCACTTACAAAAAGGACATAAATGGACTGTTTGAAACACAATGCTTCTAGAATTTAGCAGCTAAGTTCATTCAATTCAGCAAATTTCACTCATAGGACTTGTTATTCAGTTGATGTACTAGAGGAAATGGTTGAATCACATCTCACTCACCGACATCAGACATTTCAGGAACAGTGGCCGTGTAAACCTCCTTGGTGAATATTGGTTCATTGTCATTGATGTCATGGATCTTGATGATGAATTCAGACTCGGGCTCCACGGGTCTCCCTGTTTTTCTGTTTATGGCCTGAGCTCGAAGGGTGTAAACAGGTTTTTCTTCCCTGTCCAGCCTCTTGGTGGCCTGTATATCCCCTGTGTTTTCATTGATAATGAAGAGATCTCCTGCTCCATCTCCTGAAAGGATATATTTAAGTGATCCATCTCCTCTATCCTGGTCTGAATGTAACTAGTGTAGAAAAAAAAATTAAAGAAAGTAAAAGTCAAGCATGTGATCCTAAACTGTTTGTCTTTATGATGCAATGCTATGTTAACTTTCATTCAAGTCTTTCTAAGGGTTGCAGATTTTTTTCTTTTACTATTTACTTAAATCCTCAGTAGTAAATGCCATACATTAATGAACATGTTTCCTTATAATCACAGAGATTTCCAGAAGTGGAACAGAGGTTGGATAAAATTTAGTAATCCTGATTTTGAAGAATGGAAAACTAAAGGCCAGAGCAATAGTAAGATGCCCAAGGACATATAGGCCTGGCTGGAACGAAACTATTTTCACTACAGCTTTCAGATCTATTAATACACTCTCCCCCTCACTTTTATGTACACAGATACACTAGACAAGCAATATACTACTGAGAAAAGGATTTTGGTGTTTGAATCAGTGTACATTTTGCCTCTACACATTGCTATCTTGGTGAATTTAGGAAAGCTAGTCAATCTTCTTGATTCTAATATGATGGAGATTATAGTCAATTTTCTAGGAAGATGTGAAATTTGTTTATGAAATTCAACTCAAAGTGTTTGAGAAACATCTTAAGTGCTGCCAGGAACAATGCCTTGAAACCACCCTGACTAGGTAATTTACAAGATAAATTGGAATAAGAATTTACAAGATAAATTGGAATAAGACAAATTTATAAGATAAACTGGAAAAGAATATTTAACACATATTTTAGTTTAATATGGGAAAGGACCTTCTAAAAGATTAGATTGAATAGTCTGCCTTAGGAAGCAGTGGGTTCTCTGTTCCTGAAGGTCATCAAGCAGAGGCTCTGATAAGATTAACAGCCAGTGAAATGGGTCAGGGTAAAGGGTTGCGGTCATGAACGTGTGAAGATACCACTGAAGTGAAGAGGGCGATCCTAACTTGGAAAAGTAGCCCATGGGTTACTTATCCTGAACTTTATATCCACTCTATTGACTTCCCTGTTGTTTCTTTAGTTCCCTTTTCCCCACCTCAGCAAAAGTTTAGGCAGTATCTCATAGGTCTTCTGATAACCTAACTCTATTCACAATTTTTTTCAAAAAGTGCTTTTTACCAAGGAGAACTGTTTTCAGATCTCAGTTGTAAGTGTCAGCTACTTACAGACAAGTCAGCTTTAATGGCTAGTAGGACCCTGTGGGGCCCTCCTGGGTACAAAAGCCCCTCTGTGCTTCCTGTTTCTTGTTTGTAGAGAAAGGCTTTAGTCTCCTAGGTCTTTCCTGAGTTCCAAAGAGCAGACTCAAGCATTTACTAATTAGGTAAGTGAGGGAATGCAGAAACAACGGAAAAGCAAATAGTTCAGTGATAAAACAGAGTCCTAGTTCCTCCTGAAGAGATATACATAACAATCTGACATATATTTTTGAGTTCTGCAGAAACTAAGCTCCCACACACAAGGTAGAGGATGGTGATTACATGTTACCACAAGCATGCAGACACCAGATTCAGAAGGTTGATGATTATGATTCCTGACACATCACCCTGTTACCTCACCACCAACCAGTCAGAAGAAGGTCCATGAGCTGCAATCCTCATGCCAAATGTTGCCTTTAAAAACCCTTTCCTGAAAGCCATTGGGGAGTTTGGGTCTTTTGAGCATGAGCTGGCCATTCTCCTTGCTTGGTGCCCCCAATAAACACTGTACTTTCCTTCATTACAACCTGGTGTCAGTAGATTGGCTTTGCTGTGCAGCAGGTGAGCAGACCCAAGTTCTGTTTGGCAAGAATCTCTACCTTATTTCGACTCTGTCTAAGTTGAGTATAGGCTATGTTACAACAGTAATGGCAACAACAGCAGCAGGTAAACCATCTCTGTGTTCCTTGATTGATACTGCATGGAATGTTCAGAGTAATGTTTACAAACACATTTGAAAATAGAGTCTCGGGGGAAAAAGGGACTTAAAAAATATGTAACCCAGCCTTTCTAAAAGTATGTCCCCTGGAATATCATTTACACAAAATGCTGAGGAAAAAGCGTTCTGTGGCCCAATAATTTTGGGAAATACTTCATATTCTGCCTCTTTCTTAGTGCCCATTAACTTAGGAAAGGCTGTGAGTACCTATAGTCCACAACTGTACTAAACATCATTTAATCTAGCTTTCCTGAACTTTCTTATGTAATGAATCCTTTTTGGGTGTGATCCGTATCGATATTCCCCAAAACAGTTTTCCAGGAAACTCATTTTGGGAAACATGAGATAATTGAATCCATCACTGCAAGAGTCAAGAAAACTGAGGCTCCCATATGTAGTGTTTCCCAAATCACACAGCTCATGTGAGAGTCAGATTAGAACCTGAGTGCAAGAAGAGGCTTATAGATTATGACTAATAATTATGATTATTAGCTCTTAGTTCACAATAAACAGGTTTTTGCTTTTGACTTTGAGAACTTTGTTCTGAGGACTTTGAAAACCCAATTTTACAAACACATGGTATCTCTAAGGTAAAATCTGTTATCAAAAGCCAGTATTCTTCTATCAGGTGGCCATTGCTATCTTTCCACATGATTTATTATATTCTGCATTCCACTAGATTATAGACTCCCCTCAGCCGGTTCTTTCATCACTTTCAATATGTAGTTGTTGCACAATTAGCAGGTGAATACCACATTGGATCACAAGATTTATTCAGGTAAAAGTAATCAGAAACTTATTTTTAGCTGTCAGGAGAGACCATTTCGATGACTTATAGAACAAACACCAAGACAATATAAAAGGGCAGTGAAGATGCCAACTAAGAGCGTGAACAGGGATTGCTCTGCAGATCCCAATTCTGATTTATCGATATTTGAAAACTAATGGGAAAATGCATCTCTTCACTCAGGCATTGTATAATAATAAAACAATTTAACCTCATCCCCCTCCCAGTGTAGTGTCTGCATCTGATGGAGCACACAGAATAGAAACCTCCAGAAGCCTTTGTGTGCTCTTTCCCCCTCTACTCCCCTTTCTCTTCTTGGGGAAAAGAGGAAACATAAGACATCAGTGCAAGTGAAAGCCGTGGTGACAAGCAGACGTTATGGGTTTATTGAGCTCTTAGAGTTTAATTGGATTTTTTTCTTTTGTGATGTCATTCATCATGGCCACTGTAAAAGGCAGAAGTTAAACAACAACAAATAAAAGGTTGTACGCTGCCCGAGGCATGTTTTTACTAATTTCAGTTTAATGTGGCTGTTCCATTAAGTTTAATCATCTGGCTCACTTTTAACGATTCACCATCAAGTAAAAATTACCCCCTTCCCTCGGAAAGTCACATTTCACCTGGGGCTCGCAGGACGAAGCTCTTGGTCTTTGCTTGTTTTTCTGTTGACTTATCATTACTTTTTGAAGTGTAGCATCTTGACAACTAAATACAAGGATCTGAGGTTGTAGATATGGCCCCATTGCAGGCATCACTAAAGCAGTGCCAGTATCTTTTTATCTGCTACGTATGCCACCTCCCAACTTGATTTTGTCTCTAATTCAAAGGTATAACACTAACTGTACAGATTTTTAGTGGTTTATGGAGCTAGTTAATGCTGCCCCATTACCCCCATTCCCTGTGTGTCACTGAGTCACTTGTCTTAAGTCAGTAACCAAACTGAATCTTCTAAGCATATGCATCGTTGAGACAAGAAAGCAGAGTTTAAACAGAAGTTTACCTACATGGCACATCTGGAAGTACCTACAACAGCCTGAAAGGGGCTTAGGGAAGGAATTATGTGATTTTTTTTTTGCTGAAATAAAAAAATGGGTTATGACTAATATGCTCATAGAGTGTAATGTGGCCCTTTAAGAAATGTAATGATTGCTAATCTGAAATGTTATAAGAATCAGAGAACAGCTGTGGTGAAAAGATGTTGTCTGATTGGGATTGAAGTGTAGAAACTGGAGTTACAGCAGAGAGAACACCTTGGTGCTAAATAGATTGAATATTATTTTAAATTGGGAAAATAAATTTACAATCAACTTAAGACAAATTGAAGCTTAACTGAATTCAATATGTATATGTATATATGAGTGTGTATATACATACATCTCTCTACATAATGCATGTGTACATAATGCTAATAAATATGCTTAATGTAAAAATCGTGAAGAGCTTGTTAGGTAGGGTTTATGTCAGGAAGAAGTTTCTTGACGTACATGGCAGGGATTAGGAGTAGATTCTGTTTCAGAGATCATAGGGGTAGGTAAATAAAAATATCTTTTTTTTCTTTCTTTCTTTTTTTTCTTTTGCGGTATGCGGGCCTCTCACTGTTGTGGCCTCTCCCGTTGCGGAGCACAGGCTCCGGATGCGCAGGCTCAGCGGCCATGGCTCACGGGCCCAGCCGCTCCGCGGCATGTGGGATCTTCCCGGACCGGGGCACGAACCCACGTCCCCTGCATCGGCAGGCGGACTCTCAACCACTGTGCCACCAGGGAAGCCCTAAAAATATCTTTTAATAAAATTTTATATTACATATTTTAATATGCTGTATTTGGATGTTAATGATTATTATGAGTTAACTAATTTATATTTATATTTAATTTATTTTTTTTTTACAAGTTAAAATGCTGAGGGCAGCATATTTTTGTGGCAGGTTGTTGGAACTAGACATGCAAATTCTCAGGGCCCATCTACCTCCAGAATCAGAAACTCAAAGGGTGTTGCCCAACAATCTGTGTTTTAAGAAGCCCTCCGGGTGATTCTGATGAGAGCTCAAGTTTGAGAATCACTGCCTTAACTAGTACAATCGTAATGCATGCATGGTCTTGGGCAAGGGAAAGAAATGGGTATGTAGTAGTCAGGTAACCTTGGGGAACTTAGTTAATTTCTCCAAGTCTTATCTCCCTCATCTACATAAGAATAATACCATACTTAGTTTACAGGTAGGTTGCTCTGAAAATTAATAAAACAATGTATGTAAAATGCTTAACAGAAGGCCTAGCTCAGAGATATGCATCAATAAATGATTCTTACATCACAAACAGGAAGTATTCAGAAGGT